ATAGATAGATAGATAGATAGATAGATAGATAGATAGATAGATAGATAGATAGATAGATAGATAGATAGATAGATAGATAGATAGATAGATAGATAGATAGATAGATAGATAGATAGATAGATAGATAGATAGATAGATAGATAGATAGATAGATAGATAGATAGATAGATAGATAGATAGATAGATAGATAGATAGATAGATAGATAGATAGATAGATAGATAGATAGATAGATAGATAGATAGAGATAGATAGATAGATAGATAGATAGATAGATAGATAGATAGATAGATAGATAGATAGATAGATAGATAGATAGATAGATAGATAGATAGATAGATAGATAGATAGATAGATAGATAGATAGATAGATAGATAGATAGATAGATAGATAGATAGATAGATAGATAGATAGATAGATAGATAGATAGATAGATAGATAGATAGATAGATAGATAGATAGATAGATAGATAGATAGATAGATAGATAGATAGATAGATAGATAGATAGATAGATAGATAGATAGATAGATAGATAGATAGATAGATAGATAGATAGATAGATAGATAGATAGATAGATAGATAGATAGATAGATAGATAGATAGATAGATAGATAGATAGATAGATAGATAGATAGATAGATAGATAGATAGATAGATAGATAGATAGATACTGTTGATAGATAGATAGACAGACAGACAGACAGACCGAGAGACAGACAGACAGACAGACAGAGAGACAGGACTGAGAGAGAGACATGACTGAGAGAGAGAGACAGACAGGCAGACAGACAAATCTGAAACCAAAATCTGAACAAGGATGTGACCAAAACATTAAATTCATATGTGCCTTGTTGTCTTTCTGCCTTTACTGCCAGCAATTTCCCAGCTTTCGGACACGTCCATTGGTAAGCGTGTGTTAAGCTGACCTGTGAATAGCACTGCTGTGTGTGAGTCCTTTGAGGGACAGCAGATTGACTGTGCTGACAGCCAGCAGAGTACTGTTACTGGCTCCAGTCGAGTACATGTGTTTCTCCTGAATGAGACGGCTGCCCATGTGCTATTATACTCATGTAATGATGTGGTGTTACACAAAGGATTCAAAGGTCTGGAGATTTACTGCACAGTCACTAATCGCTGGGCTAGCTTGACAAGGCTTAAGAGGTAGGAGGAGTAGGCACAGGAAATAAAGAATGAGTCTTTCTAATTCAAGAACATTTCACTTAAAATAATGACTGGAATCGAACTCAAAGTCAAACATCCGAATCGTGAATTCAGGGTCGATCTATCCACTCAGGCTTCAGTGAGAAGCGTTACTTAACGATTTCAAAGATGATGTCGACTGATGAGTATACCAGAAAATTAGGTTTATATACAACACACACTTATGGCAATTTGTAAGTATTTAACATTTTGACCGATTGGTAGCTAAATTGTATCGATTCGTACAATCCCATTCATGTGTTTAATGATCTGCTCCCTTCAAACTGATGGTTTTGTTTAAATGGGACCTTCATAATTTTTTTTAAATAAAATCGACGCAAATTATTTCAGAACGAATCTCATCATACAAATTTATTAGAAATCTCCACTCCACCTCATAAAACAGTTACGTTTTCACATGAGACCTGTAGTGTTTATAATGTCAACATGACATCATGACTTTTGCGTAAACATACATGCCACTTTCGAGTCAAGTGGCGTGTTATCTCTACGCATTTTGAGCTATCCGCGTGTATCCGCGTGTATGTCTACGCCATTAACGTCCGAGTGATTCCGCGTGTCTGTACACGCCGTCAAATGTCAGCGCGAAACGAAGCAAAATGTACATCTACATCTGGGAAGCTAGATAGTAATGTTTTTTCCTAGGATGGTAAGGGAACAGTCATAAAAGCCATTAACCCCAGTGACGGTTAGGTTTAGGGACGGGGTTGAGGTAAGTCATATATTTATATATACAGTAATAACGTTAAGTCAACGGTGTTCATAAACACGCTGAAAAGCGATTATGCGTCTTGATAGCACGCCAAAAATGGAAATGCGAATTGGCGTGTCATACACACGCTACTTCATGAGATCAGTCTGATAATGTTTAGAATTTTTTGCATATTTTTTCTCATTCATATTTTCTTATTTTTTGTCAGCTGTTTTAACGTGAGCATTGTGTCTCATGGCTTTTATTTATGCCGTAATTGACAGAGAAACACAAATTGTGTCATGCCGCCATCGAAATTTCAATTGGGGCGTTCCCAATGTCTGGAATGAGGCATAAGACAGAAATTAAAAACAGGTTAGCAAGATGATTGGCAAGCTATAATGAGAGCAGGAACTAACAAGCATAAAAGGACATGGCCATCTGTTGCATACACCACGCAAAAACTGAAAAGCACTTTCTCGATCTGGAAAGCTCTAATCTGATTTGCTGACTTCATACAACTCTGAGAGTAAAGGCACATAGGCTATTTTAGCCCGTTTGACTTCTTAACTTTTAATATGACTGTCATCTACTTCCCATTAGCCAAGCTCACTGACCTCCTGCAGTATAAAGGCAAAGGGGGTGAGACAAATTGAACCATCATACATAAAGAGAAAGCGCAGAACAACTGCGGCTTTGCTGTTCATAGCGCAATCTATAATTACATCTCCAGCTATCAAGAGCCAATCGCTCCTGTCTCCCTCTTCCCACTTCAAGAAAATCCAAGAGGGGGTGGTGAGGAATTTAAATGGCTGAAGCATTCAAACCTCTGCCAGGAAATTAATCATCCCTAATTTCTCCTGTTAAAGACTCAGAATGCAGAAAAGCAATAGACATTAGAGAGTAATGCCTTGTGCTTTGACTCTCTCTCTCTGTGTGTAATTGCTTTGCATCAAATGTGTAATCATCTCATCCAAGTATTCACATCAGAGTGCTAATGGGCTCATTGAAGCCAATCATGCCAGGAACCTTTAACAAAAGATGCCTCGATAAATGTCCTCTCAGCATCAGCAAAATGACCAGGGTGATCTGTTTTCTAGAGCATTGTATGTTTGGATAGTCAACTAGACAGGACCAATGTATGAATCCTCTGGTCATGATCTCCACAAGGATAGTGAAACCTGAATTTTGCAGGGCTTGATAAACATAATACAAAAGAATGTAAAATTATTTTAATTCAAATCTAAAATTCTAAAAAAACAAACAATGTAATTTAATAAATAAATATGCATAACATTTAATAACACAAATAGTTTTATAAAAATAATATAAAATAATATAATTTAATTAATGCATAAATACATAAATATTAAGATTTAATCCACAATTTACATAATAAAATACTGATATTGTCATTTCCTGAATACTAATCATATCACATTGAAATGACACTGTGCTTTGAACACGGTCTGACTGTGATATTCCCATATGAAAAGAGGTAATACAAGACTCCCTCGGCCACACTTTCACTCGCCGCACTCGCTGCCTTCCGCTCCACAGACAGAAACAGTTAGTGAAGTGAACGGTCTGCTCATTTTTTATTTAATGTTCCATCATCACTCTATATGGGTTACTGGGCCTCCGTTTGCCACCTGCCTGACCGCTTTTGACTGTTTCACAGCTCCTCAGATTCCACTTGGTTTACTAAGAAAATGCCATTGAATCGTGCTGTTTTCCGACAGCATATGGCTTTTAGCCACGGATACATTAATATATAAAAAACTGAGCCTTAGACACAGTTTTATCAAGCCCACTGATTTACAGAGCAGCTAAATGACTACAAAGTCTCTATAGCTGTAGTGTATTGGATTTGTTCAGTTGATAGTCCACATGATACACACACACACACACACACATTTAGCAATATACAAGATCAACTGAATGCAATAAAAATGAATGTACTGTAAGAAGAGCATCTCCATGACAACGGTGAATTGCAAGTGGTGTAATAAAGTGAACAGAAACATTACTGTCAGTGCAGTTAACCCTTTGTTGCATTTATTATTAAAATCAAAAGACAAACTTAAAGGGATAGTTCACCCAAAAATGAAAATTCTGTCAGTATTTACTCACCCTCATGTTGTTCCAACCCTGTAAGACCTTCGTTCATCTTCAAATTAAGATATTTTTGATGAAATCTGAGAGCTGGATCACTCCTCCATACTAGTCCATAGGCTTCTTGAGGGATTGAAACTTGCCGGCCTCGAAAAGTTATTAAAGACATTGTTAAAATAGTCCAAGTGACCACAGTGGCTCAATCTTAAGTTTATCAAGCGACGAGAATACTTTTTGTGCTCAAAAACAAACATAAATAACGACTTTATTTCAATTATTCACTTCCTTCTCTTTGCGCCTCTAGTCAGTTAAACTTGTTAATTTGTGTATGATCTGTTGTTGTAGGTCACACGCATCATACACGTGACCAGCGTCGGCCAATAGTGAGCCTACGTGTGACGTAGCTCTACGCAATTACACTAGTTTAACTGACTAGAGGTGTAGTCACTTGGACTATTTTAACGATGTCTTTAATAACTTTTCGAGGCCGGCAAGTTTCAATCCCTCAAGAAGGCTATGGACAAGTATGGAGGAGTGATCCAGCTCTCAGATTTCATCAACAATATCCTAATTCGTGTTCTGAAGAGTAAATACTGACATAATTTTCATTTTTGGGTGAACTATCCCTTTAATGTTTATATTTACTTTAAAAGGAACCACTGTCCAAATTGCAATATTATATATATATATATATATTTAACTCCTTTGTCCTTTCCACTCAACAGAAATAGCAATAAATACTCCACAAGTGCTTGGTGCATCACCACATTCATTGTTTATTAAACCTGTGAGTAGACGTCAAAGGTCAGAAGGCGGTCCCCATGGTTTGGATGTTACTTCACATTCTGAATAGTTAATGGCTTTTGAATGATGAGGATACGATCTCAGAAATAATGATGACTGCATGTGACCAGTGGTTTAAATCAAGTGTAAATCTGCAACCATGAAAGGACATGAAGTTTTTATTTACCTGTTGTAAACTGGCCCTCTAAATGTTGGGTCAAACTTGCGAGGTTCACCTATGGAAATAAAAAGGAAACATCTAACGTTAATTAGGTATAAGACATATGAGGTTTAGCAGGGAAAATCATCGACAAATATGAGGTACATTTTCTTGTATCACCCTAAAAGGGGGTGTTATCCCACTTATTACTTATTACAACCCAAAGTGGTTCCGGTACCCATAATGAGATCACTGCTGTATATCATCAATACATTTTTAACAATCAAACCTGTTACAGATGGGAAAAGAGCTAACATGATACAGCCTAAACATTCGGCTGGGATTAAAAACAGCTGGGATTTCCCAATCTGTGTCACTGAGAGTGATTTCTGTTGCTGCCGTCAATGAGCGAATGACTGACTACTGGGAAGATTCAAGTAAAAATTGCAGATTTTTTCAAATACAGTAGGAAAAGGAAAGAAGATACAGGATAGAAATCCAATAAAGCTTGCTTATGTATTCTAGTTTTATCCCCTGCCGTTCCACCTGCCAGGCTGTCTGTCAGCGAGGAATCTTTAAACTCATGCCAATGCAAGACACCGTGTTCGGATTACTTCTCGATGACTGCAAAATTCTTTGTTAAAGTGACTGCTTTTAGAGGAAAGAGGAATGGCTGAAATTGATCTCCTGTGAATTCGGAAACAACGTGTTAATTTTCAACAAATACACGAGAAGCCTTCATTAAATATACATACAGTCCTGTATATGAATCATTGGGTTTGCTGTATATTTCATTTTAAGGATCTCATGAGACACAAATCACTATCAACATTTCATCTTCCATTGCTCAGAACCATGTGAACTGCACATCCCTCCTGGTATTTCCTGAATTGTTTTTTCTGCAGTCCAAATCATATTGCAACTGCCATGCTCTACACCTTGTCTGAATTGGTCTGTCATCTGAGAAGTGGCACTAAATCGATGGAGATGGCCGTGGCACATTTAGCGGAGTGACTGAGCATTCCATCAGCTCAGCACAATGCGCCTTTTCTCCCATCAGCCACTTGTAACGCTACAGTGAGCAGAGGGAGCTTTCTGACACATGCAATCACTGTGGACTGTGGCCATAGGGGGCAAGTATAATGTAGTGATGTTCCGTTTAATAGAGCAATATGAAATATGAAATCATCCTATGCGAGACAGAATTACGTTCCATTCAGGACACTGTTTGATCTGTATATCTCAAAATATTACATTCACTTGTATGAGAGAGTAAGTTTGTTGGATGGAACTGATGGAGTTAATCAGTTTAAAAAATAGGTATTGATTTGGTTTAGTCTTTTAACGATGTAAGATTTTTTTTGATTAATTTTATTTGATTAATTATTTGATTTGTGGATTTATTTTTTGTTAAATTTTGCAGTACTTCACTATAAATTAGAGTGTTCTTTGTATTAAAGGTTCAAGATTCAGCTGAGATCTTCATAGTTTTTGTGGCAGATGAACACTGCTCTAATTAAAAATGAATTTTATTATACCAGATTAACAAATTATTAACATTATTAAGAAATTAAGAAAAAAAAATTATTAAGAAAAAAAAGTTGTAAACTTAGAAGTTAAAAGGCATAATATTGCATGAATAAAATAGAAATATTTTAGTTAAAATATGTTTAAAAATTACAAAGTGTGATTAAAGGTATCAAGGCATCAGTTTCATCATTGCAAGAAACAGATCTTAATTCTATTAATACTGTAATATTATTTTTGTAAATGTGACTCAAAATATTACCACAATAATTAACTTCCCATATTTATCCTTATTCTTGAACATTTATGGCTTAAAAATGTAAGGCCTTATGAGACTATAAATGAGATTATATACTGTAGGTAACACTTTACAATAAGGTTCATTAGTTAACATGAACAAAGAATGAACAATACTTCTACAGCATTTATTAATCTTAGTTAACATTAATATAACTTTTACTAATACTTTATTAAAAGTCAAAGATATTAGTTAGCATTAGATAATGCACTGTGAACTACTGTAACATGAACAAACAATGAACAACTGTAGTTTTATTAACTAACATACAGTAAGAAATGTATTGCTCATTGTTAGTTTATGTAAGTTAATCCATTAACTAATTAGCCTTATTGTAATATATATATATATATATATATATATATATATATATATTGTAAAGTAACTAAAAAAACTAAAACGCACATTTCAAACAGATTTAATAACTAATTTTCTCTAAAGGAAATCTTGACTGTATTTTTTGAAATTACAAGTTTCTTGTATCTTTGGGAACACAGCATGATTGATGCAACACTTAAAATGCACGATAATGTACATGATGTCGTCGCAAGGTTTGAAATGAAGAGATATTAATTGGATTCTCATCTCAACCTTTACCACATGTGAACACTGTGGATCTTTTATTTAATCTACTTTTTATTTTTCGACCTGCCACAAGAGCAGGGACCTCAATTATCCACAGCATGACCATCTGACATTTGAATACAAAAACAAAAACAGCAGTAGATGTCAAGTGTAGCTGTGAATGAAAGATGGCAGCCCACCTCCTTATAAATTCTCCTCAACAACCCGACTCTCAGAGTGGAGGAGGGGTACAATTCAAGAGTAATTAGAGTTAAGAAAGTTAAAGTCGCTGGAGACATGGCTTATGATTTAATTCTGCTCTGGCACAGGGCCTTCAGCACTACACACTGATTAAAACAAACAAAGCTAGCTGTTGTGCATTCCTTCAGAAGTATTCAATCAATACGGCCAATTAGAGACACCTCCACATACAAGAAAGTCAATATCAAACACAGAAAATATGCACAACACAATACAAAACCTAAGGAAACTTGAGACAAACGCTCATTAAACTACTTTTAATATATACTGTGACTATGTAACACAACTTCAAGTGCGTGACATTTTCTTTTCGATCCAATACTAAGACCAAAATCAATTTTAATACTGAATCATTTCACAGATTTCTGGGGATAAAATGGATATTTGAAGCCATTATGATCATCGAACTGGGCTAAACTGCTAATTATCAGACTTATTTGTTTATTTCCAACAGTTAGTGCAGAGGCGTCGCACAAAACACAGCAATAAAGGAATAGATGCCCATTCAATGATATTGAAGACAACATGAGTAATTCATTCTGGGGCTTCCTTGTGTTCTGTTGAATTGCCTGGGACCAAGAAGCAAGTCAGTGTTTCCCCAGTACTATCTTCAATGCAGTGGATCCCAGTTCATTTCAGGATCCAGTTTAAGGTTTTTCTGTTTGTTTTTAAGGCGTTGCATGGCCTAGCTCCTAAATATATTTCAGATCTTCTTCAGGTCTGATAAGGCTATTGAGGTCATCTCAAACATCACTTTTAAAGGGGTGATAAACTGAGAAATCAAATTTTCCTCGTCATATTATAAGAATATCCTGTAAGTTTCAGAACTGAAAACATCCAATAAAAGCTTTTATTGACACCAGGCTCAGCAAACGACTTGTTTTTCAAAGTGGGAAACTAACTAGGAACTCAGGCAGGCAAAACAGTAACAGAACACAGTAAAAATTAAACCAAATCTTGAAATATTGAGACTTTTTGTTGGGCAAAAAGATAATATAATGCAATTGCACCACTGAAATAAATATTATCATTGATTTTAAATACTGTCTGCATGACTGGACTCCTTAAAAGACACAAGGCATCCTGCACTTTAAATAATTCAAACTCTGCACATAGCACAGTCTCCCTGCTATGTTCACAACAACACTCACATTATAACACATTATGCACATTATTTAAATACTACCATTTAAAAGTTTGGTGTCAGAAAGATTTTCTTTTGAAAGACATTAATGCTTTTATTCAGCAAGGATGCATTAAATGCAGCCTGGCCACTGATCTTTATATAGATCAGTGAGCCTGACTAAAGACAATCATCAGAATGATTTCGTGACACTTAAGACTGGAGTAATGATGCTCAACATTTAGCCTTGCATCACAGGAATAAATTACATTTTGAAATATATTCAAATAGAAAACAGTTTTTTGAGGTTGTAATAATATTTCACAATATTAATTGTTTTAACTCTATATTATGTTCTGAAATGAGGCAAAATCCTCACTTTTTTAAGCCAATGTAAATCTATGTGCCCGGTTAGTTTGAACCACGAGAGGTGTCATACATCGTCAAGTGTTCTTCTGGCGTAAGGGGACTTGCGTATGGTCATCTGCTGGTAAAGTAGTTTTTTTAGTTGATAAAGGTTTAAATATGAATTTATTTATTTTTTTACACAAACGCATCACTTCACTTCAGAAGGCCTTTATTAACCCCCCAGAGCCGTTTCGAGCACTTTTATCATGGATGGATGCGCTTTGAAATACTTCCAAAACCAAAAACCAATTCGCTCCCATTATAAAGCTAGGATTTTTTTAAAAATATAATTCTAACTGTAACAGAAGAATGTTATAAACAAGGTTAGTAAATCATTGCTAATTTTCATTTTTTGGTGAACTATCCATTTAAGAGTACTTCTTCAATGGCTCAAAATACATCAGGCTCGCTCTACTGTGGTAAACATACAGTGGATTTGACCCAGAGCCAGAGCATTAATGAAAGCCAAGGAAATCCTGAGTTTAGCTAGGCTTCAGAGGTGAATGGATGGGTTGTTTTATCTCTCTATTTGGTGGGACGCCTTCCATAGGCGCTCCGTGAACGAGAGCTACTCATTACAGTCGGCACTGCAAATGACAAGCACTTATAACATCTTTATTCTTAGAACAAGCTTCACTATGGTGTCTGATGCATCTCTGGTGAGGTGCACGACTTTTGAAGATCATGTTTTATTTCACAAAGTAAATTAATTCATATAATGCCTGTATTGGGAAAGATACACACAGAGCTCCAGTCGTACACGTGTTGTTGGAAGTATATCAGGCTGTTTCTCTGTTTCTGTTCATTAGCGCAGAGATATTCTCACCATAACTACCTATCATCACTGCTCAACTCCTCCTTAAGGGCCATTCAGACTGACAATGTGATTGCAGAG